TACATTGTGACACCTCTAGAGTAGGAATAGGGGAATACTGAGTTAGAAGACTTGATCGATTGCATTTTCAACGAGAAGTTAAACAAAGCTCAGAGAAAGTACTTGGCCTATGATAAAGAGTTCTAAGCAATCGTGAGAAGTTTGGAACATGGAGGCACTATTTATACTTCGAGTTCGTGCTAAATTATAATCATGAATCATTAAAGTACATCAACGGACAACACGAGCTCAAGTCAAGGCATGTGAAGTGAGTGGAATTTTTGTAAGCTTTACGTTTGTTATCAAGCATCAATCTGAAGTGACGAATAAGGGACATGTACTGCTTGTGACCATGGATGTCTGGGTCAAAGGGTTTGAGGAGTTTCAAGGACTATACCACAATGACCCTTATTTTGAAAGAATTTGTGAAAGATGTCAAGAGCGACCATATCAACAGTTCTTGTTGCAGAAAGGTTATCACTTTAAGGGAAACAAACTCTACATCCTTGACTACTTGTTGAGAGAATCAATCATTGAACAGACTTATGGTGGAGATTTAGTTGGTCACTTTGGGATGGATAAGACAATGGCCATGATCAGTGAACACTTCTTTTGGCCTCGCATTGAGAGAGATGTGATGGGGTATGTCGAGCGATGTCAGACATGCCAATTAGCAAAGACCCAAAGTGCCAACAACGGACTATATACTCCTTTACTAGTTTTTATGGCACCATGAGAAGATCTAAGTCTAGACTTTGTGTTGGGTTTGCCGAGGACTCAAAAGAACAAGGATTCAACCATGGTAGTGGTTGACTACTTTTCCAAGATGGCACACTTCATTTCAAGTAATAACCTTTGATGTCTCACAGATCGCAAGATTATACTTGGAAGAGGTTGTGCTTTTCCATGGGGTTTGAAGATCACTCACCTCAGATTGTGACAAGAAATTTGTGAGTCACTTTTTGAGAATGATGTGGCAAAAGATGTGAACAAAGTTCCACTTTAGTTTGGCTTATCACCACATACCGATGGATAGATAGAGGTTGTTAATCAAAGCCTGTGAAATCTACTAAGAAGTTTAATTGGTGACAATCCGCGACAATGGGACCTAGTGCTACCAGAATCTAAGTTTGCATACAACATATCACCCAACTGCACCACGGGAAAAAGTCCATTTGAGATCATTAATGGGACGAACCCATTTACACTGCTCGACTTAGTACCATTGTCGATTCTACATCACTATAGCTCCATAGAGAGGAACAAGTCAAGATGACCAAGGATTTGCATGCCCAAGTAAAGAAATAGATTGCGAAACAGAATGAAATCTACAAACAGAGGGCATATAGTCATCGTAAAAGAGTAGTGTTCCAACTTGAAGACCTAGTTTTGATCCATCTAAGGAAGGAAAGGTTTCCAACATAGAGATTCAGTAATCTGCAACTACGAGCTGACGGACCCTTCAAAGCACTCAAGAAAATCAATGATAATGCCTACAAGATATTTGAGCTACCAAGTGACTATGAAGTCTTGGGTACCTTCAATGTGTCTAATTTATCGCCTTACTTTGAGGATGTAATGCCTCACTTGAGGTATGTAGCTAATTTACGTTGCATTGCTTGAATCTTTATTGTTTTGCTCTTAATTGAGTTGTTATATTGTTAATATTGTTTGGTTGGTCCTTCGTTGAATGGATATTGTGAGTTGGTTGAGTGGTTGCCCTAAAATTTGTAAAGACTTGGCGAATTTTTGTTTTACAGACTTCGTTGAGGCGAAGAAGAAGCTTCGCTGCGGTGATGAAGTCCTGCAACCTACGGTGTAGGTTCTGTAAGTTTTTGCCAGGGCGAAGAAAGATTCTTCGCCGCGGCGAAGGGCTTGACAAAATGAGTATTGAGTTTCTAGAGAATTCTTCCTTTGGGGCACAATGACCATTCTACCCCTAATTAGCAGGAAAAGTGGGGAGTGAAATGCAAAGAAATTACATGGAAAATAGTTTAAATGAGGGTGCATTTGCAAAGAATTCAAAGGACAAAAGTGAAATTCCTAAGAAAGAGTAAAGGTAAAATGGGAATGAATGAAGATAATTTGAGCTAAAAAGGGGTTAAGTTTAGTAAACCCTTCATTCATTCTTCTTCCACCGCTCTTCCATTCTCCATTTCCTCTTAATTCTTCATTCAAGCTTTCAAGGATTTTTAAGGGTTTTTAGTTGGATCTTGGTAGAGAATTAATCTAAGGCATCCTAAGGTAAGGATTCTTGCTTTAGATGTGAAGTTTTGCATATATTTGTATATTGAAGTCTTATGGTTTTATTGTTTAAACTTGTAAAGAAGGGACAAGTTACTAAGGAAAAGAGAAGTGTTTGTGGAATCACACCCTCACAAGGTAAGTAAATCCCAGTCCAAGTTGATATTTGAGAAATCCTTTGAGTAGAGATTTATTTATGCATGATATATGTTATGTTATTGAGAACTTGGGTTGAGATGAGTAGTTATTTTGTGGTTGTTAAATACACTTCAATTGAGAAGTGTGATGTGTGATGAGAATGTAGTTTGTGATGAAATTGGAGGAGATTGAGAAATCTCTTTGGAAATGTTATGTTATGGCAAGAATTATAGCTTGGTGAGGGAGTTTTCTCCCATTTTGGATGGTTCAAGAGAGGGATAGACTTATAAATAAAGTGGAGTGTAGGTATGCACACTAGTTGTTTGATGAAATGCCTAAAAGAAGTATGAGCATGAGTTGTGAACTTTAATTTTTGCAACATTGCATATTGGCATTTCTTAAGTGCATGAATGAACATGAACAATCCATATACATTAATTGTGCATTTGAGAAGTAGTTTGTGACTAACCTACTCTAAGCATTAAGCTACACTATGACTACTAGTTTGAGAAAAAGTAGAGAACTGTGTAAATGAACTACTAAGAGTAGAGAGAATGAGAAGAGCACTAAGAACGGATTGGTGCTTTGTGATCTCCACCCGAAAGTCACGAAGAGTAGGATGGTGCTGTGTGAACTCCACCCAGCCGTGCCTTTGATAAGATGAGGTCGTGACATATAGCAGTAGTTAAGTAAAGAGAGTTGTGTGAAATATGAGACTTGTAAGGAAAGAATTAGAGAGAGTTACGGGGACAGTCGAGTAGAGGATTTACTTACTGAGTATTATTTCGTGCTCATCCTGTTATTTTTCTTTCTGGTTGTAGGATCTAGGTGAGAACGCGGTTGGATGGGTGTCAGCAAGCGAATAGCAATAGCTACACTGTCCACTGTTTTAATACCATTTTGTAAATGATACTCTGTTTTGTATAAATAATGGTTATATGTAATAAAAGAAAATTTTGGGCCCATTTACTTTTGCTACTATGCATATATTCTACTTGATATATTTCTACAAGTATCCTCGTATAAAGCAATCATTACTGAGGAAAACATCGAAGAAAAAGCAGAAGAGGATGACATCAATTCGAGGTTCAATCTTTTTCAAGGGAAGGCCAATGATGCACGAGCATCACGACAGGTCATTGACAATAACCTAGAAGCAAAGTGAGTTGGATAAGACCGCAGAGCGAGTTGGATAAGATCGCAAAGCAAGCTTGAACGAGGAGAGGTCATGTGTTGTCAACTAGGAGTTACAGACTAAGCTAATAGGGACTTAGGGAATAATTGTAAATACTTCACTTTTGCTTTAATGTTCAAGAAAACGACACACATACGTAGGAGAATTAAAGTATGCACACTTGTCACTTGGGTTGTCAAAATTGGGACAAGTGTAAGAATTCTATTAGATTCTTTTAAGGTTTTGTGTACCAATATGAAATATTATTGTTAAGTAGAGTTTGGTGGTTATTACGAAGTAAAATTTGAAACTTAAAAATAGTTGAATAATTTATGATAGGATTTTGAAAATAAGGAAATAAATATGTATTTTGATTTGAAATACAAATAGAATAGAGAAACAAACACGTATTTTAGTTATTTGGAGTAGTATTTTTGAAATATTATTATTTTTTATACATCAAATATTAAATTTGACTTAAAGTGTCGATTATTATAATTATATTTTCTTTTCTTGATCTCATTAACTTGGTATTTAAATCTATACTTTCGTTTAAAAATATTAAAGAAAAAATAAACTTAAATGATATTGAATTTAAATCCTTAACTTAAAATCAAGAAAACAACCTAAAAAGAGAGGTCTTCGTCGACAACAACCGTGGGATGTCAATGAAAGTATGCGTCGACCAAGCCGTGTGGAAAGCTAAATGAGAAATTATTCGGTGTTTGGATAACTTTACCACTTTAGAATTTGGAGGGACCTAGCGAAATGATGATATCCAATATTTGTTCTTTCGTAATTCTAACGCTATACAATAAAAAATTCATCCTCTTGCTTTGAACTCTTTACAATTCATCAATTTCATATTTGTTTTGGAAATTTTATTTGAAACTTTAAAAGTTATCATTAATTATTTTTTTACTCTTTCAGTGAAGCTCCATAGAGAGGAGAAAATTTTATTAATTTAAACCAAAAAAAAAAAAGGAAGATTTTTTTATAAACGTTGACAGAATCAGGAGAAATTTATTAATTTAAGAAAAAAGGAAGAAGAAGAAGAAGAAGAAAACTGATAGACATAGGATGTAATTAGCGTGATGCCTCGTGAGGAAACAAAGTACATAATAGAAATGCAAATGAATGAAACAAAAAAGTGTTTTTTTTTGTTTTTTTTTTTTTTTTATGGATAGAAATAAAATTACTTTTAAATTACTTTCCGATATATTGAACAGCAAAGTGACACCTTGCATAATGTATATGCAGTTAAGCCATTTAGACCATATTGTTTTTTTTTTTTTTTTTTTTTTTTAATGGATAAGGAATAAAATTACTTTATAAATTAATAAAGTATATAATCAGTCATCATAAAAGTTAAAGGAAGCCTTTCTTGATGTTAGTAAAGTATAATAAATCTTATGCCCATCTGTTTTTTTTTCCTTAATTTATTTTCTATTGACGAAGACTGAGCTAAACATGCAGCCCTATATATAAACACTGAAAGCATTTCTTCTCAGACCACTCTAGTCTTCTGGAGTTCAACATTGGTGACCAAGATTTATTGAGAATTTGAAATCTTTCTGCAATCAACCCGATTCGGTGCATCTTTCATCAGGTTGTTGTTTTCTTTTTCCTCTCTTCCAAGCTAAAGTTTTCTTTGCCTTAGGTTTTGTATGGCTTGCTTGCTTTAGTTCAAGTTTCTGTTTTCTAGTTATGTGTTTCTGGGAATAATTTCAGTCGCCTCATCGATCCAGAAGGACAAGGGCATATCCTGACCTAAGTCTATAAATTATACGGTCAAGATATGTTACAACCAAAACGAAGTTTTTTGATTGATTGGTGTTATATATGAATCACAGTTGTTTATGAGTTTGTTTTTGTTTTAATGATGCATAGTTATTAATGGAGGAAGATGATACCTGACTTAAAAACATTCTTCAAAAGCATTCTCTTTGTGATTTATTGTTGAAAAACTCTGTTGCTTGGTTTTATGAGGATTCGTACGTGGCTTTTGCGTCTGCCACGGACGGTTTACCAATTTTTGCCTTTGTGGTTTTGGTTAATGCTTACGTTGGGTTTTTAAACTGCTCTTTATTTTTAACAAAATAATAATAATAATAATAATAATAATTAATTAATGATCCTTGAATGATTTTTATTAGTCCAAAAATCTTTTAAAATTCACGTAAAACTCATGTACGAGAGGATTTTGATCTAACTAAAATAGCCTAAAATTAATATATGTATTAGAACAAAAAAATTTATAAATAAATATTTAATTAAATAAAAATCCTGCGATGGTATGATCAATCTGTTTGTGTCGATCTACTGGCCACTAACGGCAAAAAATTCTATTTGACGACTGATAACATAATACTGTGGTATATAGACTGGCTCTTGGTAAAGTTTGGTTACCTCCACCAACAGTCGTCCCATGAATCTATAGGCTCTTTTTTATTTATGAAATCACTATATCAAATTTTTATTTAAAAAACTTATTTTGAAACATATTTTAGTAATTATAAAAATAACTTATTTAATAAAAATGTTTATTTTTTTTAACTTTACATGCAACATTAGCAAAGTAATTTAAATATATATAACAAAGAGAAAAAAAAATTACCAACCAGACTGTCTGTTTTGTTTTAAAATACTTAATATAAAAATTATAACAATTTTAAACTAGACCAGTAAGCCTACATCTTATGGTAGATATGATTGAGGCCGGTGAGCCATCATCGATCTCCATCTCAATCAATCAATTACAAATTGTATGATCAAGTGTCAGTGTTTGAATATTTACAAACTCGTACAATTAAATCTTTTGTTGCTGTTAATAAAATCAAACACTATTATAGAAGTGTGTGGCTTTTAGAACACTATATTATTTGCATGGAATCTTTTGATTTTGATTTAGTAAATTGGCATGTATGCAGAAGAATTCATGGCCGAAAGAGATGTGAATTCAATCCATGATCCTGAAATACAAGAATCACATTCAATAAATATCGAAATGGCTGTTGATCCAATAAATAGTGCTCCCCAAGTGCCAAATGATCAGGCCCAGAATGGTACTTCAACTGAATCAACTCAAGAGACGTCTTCTAGTGAGCTCCCTCTCTTTAATTTCAAGCTAATGACATTTTTTATTATTGATTCAATCTGATGACAATTTATTTTCGTTATTTTAACTTATTACTCAGGTGAAAATGGAAAGGTTTATGCCCCAGAAAGAGTGGTTCTTTATAGGGCCGCATTAAAAGGTGACTGGGCAACTGCCGAAGGTTTGTTAGGACAAGATCGATCACTGTTGCGTGGCGAGATCGCAAAGAATGGCGAAACTGTTCTTCATATTGCAGCAGGAGCAAAACAAATTGGATTTGTAGAGAAGTTGCTAGAATGGATAGAACCTCAATACCTTACTCTGAAAGACAGAAATGAAAACTCGGCCTTTTGTTTTGCAGTGGCAGCTGGAGCAATCGAAATTGCTAAAATTATGTTGAAAAAGAATGAAGAACTGTTGGTAACTCGAGGGGGGCAAGATATGACTCCAATCTATCTAGCTGCGATATTTGGTTACAGGGACATGGCATCATATTTATATAGGACAGTTCAAGAAATGGAAGTTATTTTGGCCGTGGAGGACAAAGCTTCTCTTTTTTTTGCTTGTTTGTATACAGCATTATACGGTAAGAGTACCTTCAATTTAATTCTGTTCTTTCGTTATCATTTGTTATTGGAATGAATAATTTTACCCATATATATTATATCTCATATAAAAAATTCCATCTTAAATGTAAGTGTGTGTGTATATATATATATATATATATATATATATATATATATGCAAATAATAAAATACTTAAGTGTGTGTGTATATATATATATATGCAAATAATAAAATACCGCGGTAAGTGATATAATATAATGTCACATTGGATAACACATCAAAAAAGACATATAATATTGCTTTCATAGCTGCATGAAGCGTGTTTTTTACACTGTTGTGCTTAGAATTTGGTGAATTTCTCAGATCTCGCAAAGGACTTGCTAATTGATCGTCCAGATTTAGCTATGGTACGTGACGAAAATCAAGATACGGCCTTGCAGATTTTGGCACGACAGCCTTCGTCATTTGCTGGCAGAAAAGGAGGACTATTGAAGAGGCTAATCAGCTCATGTTAGTTTCTCCATATATGGTTGTTTAGTGTAGTTATCTATTTAATGATTATACTCAACTTCTATAAAATTGACCTAAAAAAACAAGTGATTTTACATATTGCATAAGTTAAAATTCTATATATTGTCCTTCTCTTTGAACATTTAAGAAAAAAAACAAAATTTTTGAGTATCCTAATATAAAAAAGTTTGGTTGAAATTCCATCTATTTACCTCAATTACTCAGTGGTGCAAAAGACTGATATACTTTAAAAAAAACATGGGTTTCCACACCTAAAAAAAAAAAAATATTTTAAAACTAAAAAAATTAGAGATAGCTGATTGAACATTATTCTTTTGGATGTCTTGCTTGATATGATCAAACGTGGTATGGAAAAGCATTTTTTTTTTTCCAGTAGTCATCACTAAGTTAACTAAGGATTAAACCATTTAGTAGTAATTTTGGTTATTCTTATCATTATCACAATTGTTATTTAGCAAGGATTTATTATGTTCATTGTCAGTCCCAGGAGTGAAGAATAATCACAAAACGGATTCGGCATCAACTAAAGCTCCTGAATTAGCGGAACGTCTTTTGGACATATTATCAGAAAAAGGTGAATTGGAGGACCCAAACCTAAACTTCATGTTCGATGCAGCTAAATTGGGAAACTTCAAGTTCTTGAACATGTTCATTAGCCGTTATCCAAATTTGGTTGACAAACTTGATGAAAATAAATATAGCATATTTCACATTGCGGTTATACACCGTCATGCTGATATATTCAGACTAATATTTGGGATACTAGACTTGAACAGAGAGGTAATGACCGCCTTAGTAGACAAAGATAAGAACAATATATTGCATTTAGTTGCGAAACTTCCACATCCAAGTCGACTCAGTATCGTATCAGGTGCAGCTCTACAAATGCAACGAGAGTTATTATGGTTTAAGGTAATTCATTTTTTTAACCTCTACAACTTGAATTGAGAATGTCTTAATTTCATTTTTGGAGCTACTAATTATCTTTCAATTATAGTTCAAAGTATTATCTGATCTAAAATATTACGAAACATAACATTTTAATGCTTCATCTTAATGTTTATATACAGGAGATTGAGAAGGTGGTGAAACCTTCTTATAGAAAAAAGAAAAATTCAAGCGGCAAAACACCTCAAGAATTGTTTACGGAGGAGCATAAAGGGTTGTTGAGAGCTGGAGAATCGTGGATGAAGAACACAGCTACCTCATGTATGCTTGTTGCAACAATCGTCACCTCTGTAATTTTTGCAGCGGCATTTAGTGTACCTGGTGGCTATGAGGACAAGACAGGAATACCTAATCTTTTGAAAGATAATTTATTTCACGTTTTTTCCATATCAAATGCAATAGCATTGTCCTCCTCTATCATCTCAGCTTTGATGTTTTTGTCGATCCTTATCTCGCGTTATACAGAAGACGATTTTCGTAAGTCATTACCACTTAAATTGATTGGTGGACTCTTATCTCTCTATGTCTCCTTAGTAACCATGATGATAGCTTTCATCACATCCTTCTTGCTAGCTTATCATGACAGATTAAATTTCGCCACCATAACCACTATAGTAATGTCTGTGGCAGCCACTCTTTTTGTCCTGTTACAATATCCCCTTTTGAGAGACACATTTTATTCAACATACAATTCGAGGTTTCTGTTCAAGTCAAGTACTGCTATGCTTTAATTAGCCAGAATAATAGAAGTTAGTGGTACTGTAGCATCTAAATTGATGTTAAATAAGCTTTTCAATTAAATTATGTACTTCAGTCTTCAATGACTATGAACTGGTGTTTTGTGAATCTTTCTCTATCATTTTCTGAAATTATATCTAGTTTTTCATAATTTATGTATATATTAATTTTCTGATGCAGATATCTTGAAATTTCTTACATACGAATTAAGTAATTGACTTAACGAAAACAAAAACAACAAAATATTTCTTAACCTTTACTCTACACATTAATAATTTCAAGACATTTTTGTGCAAGAGTTGAATACATGCTCTCTCAAATGTTGACCATCTTCTATTTTTCCACTTCCGGTGATGCATCCTTTTGGGAAGAAAGTTTTTGAGTTTTTATTTTCCACCTAGTCTCCAATTTCTGGCTATCTCAAGAAGCTATTCGGCCATTTATTTATTTTTCTTGTTGATCACTATCTGTTGAAGTGCTTAAATTTAGATACAATCTTTAAACTAGAAGAGAAATTATTTATTTCTTAACAGTATATGAAATTTACTTATACGTACCATATTCATATTCCTCTTACTTACTCACAATTTCCTGGTATTCTAGTATATTTCTGTTTATTATTATTGAAGATTCAAAGATCATAAATGGGTTCTTAGAGTAGAAATTATTGGATGCAATGTGTTTGGTTTTAGATAAAATTGAGAGAAAACATAGAGAATGCTCTGAAAATTAGATTGATTGTATTGCTAGAATGATTTTTGGATCCCAAATTACAAGGCATTCCTTCTATATAACCTTGTGAACTTGGAGAGAAAATACCAAAATTTATTTTTGTATTTATTAGACAAGCTCATAATTTGTGCTGTTCTCTCTTTTATTTAGTCCACTCTTTACCTCATTAACAAACTTTTTTCTCTTATGATATGAGCTTAACCTTCAACTATTTTTAATAGCGCAACCCCACCGGAGAGATACTTATTGACGACTAAACAGTGTTGTATTGAGTACTCAAAGAAATATATATATAATATATTAATATATATATATATATATATAATATATATATATATATATTATTATATATATATATATTAATAATATATATATAATAATATATATTATTTTAATAAGTTGTTAAGTAAATTATTGATTAAAATTAATTATTTTTCAAGAAGACAATATTTTAAAGTAAATTTCATATATATTAAATTTGATATTCACAAATCTTTACTTTTTATCTATTATGAGAAATTGTTGTTTTTATGGGATGTAAAACTTCTGAAGGCAGAGCAGGAAATTTCTGGAAACAGATCAAAACTGCGAAAAAAAAAAAAAAAAATTTCAGAAGTTGTTAACCTTTTTTATTTATTAAGTAAAAAACAATTGTTTTACAAAAGTTTTTGAAGTACATTAAAAGTCTAGGTTGGCTGTCCTTGTGAACCTAATCTCAACCACTCAGTCAAATAACAAACAAACACAATCGGAGCTAAACTGAGCCGTTCGATCAGTCCATTCTAGCTCCAGTAACTTTGAATAAGAAACAAAAAACCTTGCTCTCTGATCTTCACGAAGCTTTGTTAAAACTGTAATGCTTGTAATTGAAACGTTGCTGTCTTATGAGACTAAAATGACGGACTCGAACATACTTGAGCTTCCGTTAGTTTTCTTTTCCTTCGCTTACTCACAGCACTTGAAGCCATAAGCCGTTAGTCTTATTTAACTTGTTTGTTCTCCCTCAAGCAAAGCAAAAAGTAGACCTGCTACAGCTAGCAAATAGAATCCACTTTTAAGTAACGTTTCTTTTCTGTTTAGTTGAACAAACTGATGCAATATGGAATGATTGCTGGAATTACGCATCCTTAAATTATGCTAATCACAGATATTTAGCATAATTGATACAATCCTACATAAATATTAGTTGATTGATTTTATTATGATTTCATGTAATGACACCCTTAATTGCATTTCCTTCATTTGTTATTTCTCTCTTGTATAAATACATCACTGTAAAGATCAATATAAAATTTACAACTGAATCTTCTTCTTTAATCTTCTGGTATTCTTCGGCAACACATTTTGCTTCCTTTGCCTCTTCCTACTTAGATTCTAACATTGTATTAGAGCAAGCATCTTAATTAAGCTTCCGCCCCGCAATCCTCTCTAGCCATTTTGTCCCAGAACCTGCAAAACAAGGCATGTGGATTAGTCTCTCTCCTTTTTCTCCAAACAAATCAAAATACCAAATTTTCCCTCATAGTTCCAAAAGGCAACAGCTAGATCACAACTCCACCAGCTCCAGGCCAAACAACATCCACAGCCACATCAAACGAGTCTACATAACAAAACCAAGATCAAAATTCTAGATCAAGTCCAAATTCTGGACCAACCCAATATAGACTAAACCCATTCGGGTTCATGGGTCAGAATCCCAACCCAACAAGTCAGAATCCCTAACCAGTACTCCAGATCATTCCCAACACCTCCAACCGCCCAGAACTAGGTGATCCTCCTTACTCACCAGCATCCGACGAGTCTTAGCTTGTGCTCGTCAAACAACCCCTTACCAAATCGAAGAATTATGCAACATGGGCACGTGATTTCCGATGATCCTTAATCACAAAAGACAAAGAAGGGTTCACTAGTGGAACCCTCTTAAAACAAATCAAGCCACACCAACTCAAACACTAGGTTCAATGCAACACCCTTGTCCGAGCATGGATCAACAACTCCCTGACTCAAGAGATTGTCGTCGATTGCCACAGATAGAAAATGCCCAAGAGATGTCGGCAAATATAAAGGAGATGTACGGCCAACTTGATTTGGCCAAACTCTTCACTTTACAACAAACTCTTGTCGAAATCAAGAAAAATAACCAAACGGTGACATCGTATTTTAACCGCCTTTTGCCAATATGGAATGAGTTAGAAGCAGTTGAAAAAACCCCTTGAAGGGCCAATAACAATCCTTCAATAAATCAAACGAGTGAAGGATCAAGACAAATTGACCCATTTCTTAATGTGTTGCACTAGGTTGTCACCTGTCTTGGATCAATCCAAATTTTGATCCTTCACTCGTTTGATGATTGGCAGTCCAAGATGAGAGCCAATAGTTGTGCTCACACTTGTGAAAATGATCACCTTTAGAGAGTGTGCCCACATTGGCAGAAAGGAAAAGATAGTGCAGGACTCAAAACAAGATCATAAGATGATGAAAATACCAACACACATCATAGGCATAGTAGAGAAGTATAGTTGTTGTGTGTACGTGGTGACTTGTACTCTCCACTCTACTGATACTGAGAATCACACTTGAGGACAATGGCTTCAGCCATTGAATTGTGTAATTTGTTTGTTGGCTTATTGGCTTATTTCACATTTGAGGTTGGTAGTTAAAGCTATCAACTGGTGTGAACTAAATTTGTTGGCCTATCTAATCAACCCATTTTAGCTTGTTTGCCAAAGCGAAGGTTTAGAATGGGCTAGATGAGATCTTAGTCCACTAGGAAAGCCAATGAGCTTTTCCAGGTTAATATAAGGGTTATTGGCTTGAGGAAAATAGTGGGAGAATTTATTTAATAAAATACCTTGTTAAATAATAATAATGAACATGATAATAACTTTTGCTTATTCTGCATTTGTAGATTCACTAAAATGAGCAATATGAAACCATCATCATTACGACAAATCATCGAACTAGGAAACAAATGGAATGGTGAGAATTTCATTGATTAGTATAGAAGTATAAACAATATACTTAAGTCAAGCGTAGATTATACACCATTGAGCAGGCTTTATCACCGGAGCCTGCTGATAGTTCTATCCATCAAACTGGGTATGTATTTATGAAGCATACACATAATGCTAAATAAAAAATGACAAGATACATTGTGCTTGCATCAATGAAACCATTACTGCGATTGTAGTGCTAGAGTATGGACTTAGCTTCCATTCTTTATACTCTCCAGAAAAATGAGAAGTATTCAGATGCAAGATGGAAGAGGGTATCAAAATTGGCGATGACCAAGTATATGAACAAGCTTGAGATTTTGGGATGTAGACTTAATGAGGGTTTAGTAATAGTCCTAACATTATAGTCTTTGCCAGATTCTTACTCTCAGTTTGGCCATGACTTTATTGACGATGGTGAGAAGAATACCCTTTCCAAGCTTCTAGATATATTGAAAGCTATTGAGTCTGGCATCAAAATGTCAAAAACATTGACATTGGTTGAAGCTAACTCAAGTGTAAATGAAAAGGCTCAGAAGTCGTTGGAAGCAACTATTGTAGAAAGGAAGGGCATTTGTCCTCACTGCGAGAATCCCAACCACTAGAGGAAACATTGCAAAGTCTTCCTAGCAAAAAGGAAGAAGAATGCTACTTCTTCATTAGTTACGTTCATGATTGAGATTAACTTCTCCCCTTCAACATCTTGGGTCATTGACACAAGATGTGGTACTCATATTTGTACTAATGTCCAAGAACTACAGCAGAGTAGATTGCTCACCAAAGGAGTGGTGGACCTAGTAGTTGGAAATGGAGCATGTGATGCTGCATTAGCTATAGGATCTAATTGTCTAACATTTCCTATAGGATTGTTATGGAACTAATGGATTATTATGATTTTCCCTCAATTTCTAGAAATGTTGTTTCTGTGTCCACTTTCCATAAGTGAGAATATTGCTTTTATTACTAATGGATTTTTATCTTTTAGTGTAAATAATATTCTTTATGGAACTGTTTCATAATAATTTTATATGTTCTCAAAATGGACAATATTGATATTCTCAAAGTAACAACTATGCCAAGTGTGGCAAGTTGAGTTAAATATACCTGAATGAATGTGGGACAATATCAAAACTCACCTTCCATATACACCCCAACATAATGGTGTGTCTAAAAAGAGGAATATGACCTTAGTTGATATAGTTAGGTCTATGATGAGTTTTAGTGATCTACCGGCATCATTTTGGGGTTATGCCATAGAGACTACGACTCACGTACTTAACCGTATGCTGTCAAAGTCTATGGATTAGACTCCATATGAACTATGGAGTGGGCGAAAGCCCAATTTGTCTTATCTGAATATTTGGGGTTGTGAAACTTATGTCAAGACTGCGCCTAAAATCTGATAAATGTATTTTAGAAGGGTATCGTAAGGAG